CCTTTTCTATGGTGAGTAATACTTCACTGCACAGGTATGTCATCAGTTGATGGCAATTTGGGTTGTTTCCATCTTTTGCCTATTATGAATAATGCTACTAAAAACAATGAAGTATGAATTTTTATAGGTACATGTTTTCATTTCTCTTGGTTACGTATCTAGGACAGGAACTGTTGGGTCATATGGTAACTTTGATCATCTGAAGAGGTGCCAGGTCATATTCCAATGAGTTGCATCATTTACATTCCCACCAATGCATGAGGGTTTCAATTTCTCAACATCCTTGCCTTATTATTGCCTAACTTTTTTTATTTGAGCCATCCTAGTGTTTATAACATGATATCTCATTGTGGGTTTGATTTTATTTCCCTATTAACAGTGTCAAGCAAATTTTCATATGCATATTGACTATTTGTCTTCTCTGGAGAAATGCCTATTCAGATCCTTTGCCCCCTTTTAAACTAGGTTATCTTTATTACTAAATGTTTTCATGTATTCTGAATATGCCTATCAAATGTAATATTGTAAATATTTTTTTCCTATTCTGTCAGCTGTCTTCAAGCACAAAGTTTTTTTTTTAGCTTTGATGAAGTCCAATTTATCGTGTTGTTCTTGTTTTTGGTGTCATATCTTTGCCTATTCCAAAGTCATGAAGATTTACCCCTATGTTTCCTTCAAATATACATGTTTTGATTGATGTATATATTGATTTCTACTGAGTCTACAGAAGACAGGCAAAATGACCCAACTATCTCCAGAGGTATTCAGCTAGAGAAGAACACTGTTAAATACTGCAAAGGTTACTAATAGTCCTTTATTGTAAACATCCCTTTTAATGTTTATTATTCCTTTAAATAAGCTAAGATGTTGAAAGCCAGGTGATTTGACTCCCCAATGGACAGTTGTTAAACTCTTCCCTAGTGCCCAGTTGTCTTGCGCAGAGAACTTCGAATAGCCCTACTTGACAGCCCAGCTGCTTGAACACTTCAGACATCTTGAGGACACTACACTGAGACTACAGCTGCTTGCTGCAGAAGCACAACTCCAGCTCCAGAAGACACTATTCTAGCCAAAATGTTTCAAGCAGCTTGTGCAGGACTGAATGCCATCACAAGCCTCAGTGAACTCTAGCAACCAATTTCACCCAAGGCCACGGGAGAGCACTTTCCCAGGTGGCCCAGTGAAAAGCCTATGATTTTTTTTGTATGAAGAACTGTGCCATGATTGGTGCAAATACTCTTGCAATACTTTCTGGCTATGTAAGCAGGGTGAATGGCTCAAGTCAGCTAGGAGGGTTTTACAACCCTCCTGTGTTGTAAAATTAGGCCCATTAAAGGACTTCTCTGGAGTGGTCTTTTCTTGTCTATTTTTGAGCTTTATCATTGGTAGAACAGGCTGATCTAGTTAACATGAAGAGGAGATAACAGAAGAGAAAGCAGATCAGTAGCAACGAGAAGGTGGCAGCACAGTTCCAAAGAGCTGCCCAGAAATGTTGTGATGACCTCAACACTTATATATTTAAAAACGCTATCAAAAAAGCCTTAAGTTAAAAAAAAAAAAAAGCCTTAAGTTATCGTAAGTAACATATTAAAAGTCAATAGACAGAATACTTCATGAAATTTAGAGGTATTCCTATTAAAGTCAGAAACATGAAATTCAGAATGACCTCTCTCAGGTCAACCTGTTGTGCTGTCTGGCAATCACACTCCATTCTATTCCCCTTTTCACTCTCTGATAAATGACTGTCATATTTTCTTGTCGCTCAAACCTCCATTCCATATTCCCATTCTTCCTTACTCTCAGCTTATGACCCTGATTCCCATACACCAAGGTAAATAGGAACACTCTATAACACCATCCTGTCTCTATATATTCTGCCTTGTCTCTCATTTCTATAGTAACTCCACTACTAAAGCAAATGGGAACAAAGAAAAAAGTTACAAAGAATGATGACTATGAATGACATTAAGACTCTTCATAACCACTTGAAGCTAAAAAATTATAAAGCAATCCCTCATACTTTAAGAAAAAAATTATTTTTACCTTGAAATTCTGTATCTAGCCCAGACAGGTTATTAACAAAGTGTCAGGGTAGAAGAAAAATATTTTCGGCAATATAACAACTCAGTTTTCCTTGCCATACACTCTTTAAGTTACCAAAAGATGCAACTCACCAATACAAGAGAGTAAACTGAAAAAGAGGACAACATGGATCCAGACAGCACAGGCTCCAATACAGGAAAAAGGCAGAATTCTCAGAAGCATGACAGTAACAAGCTCAAGGCATAGAGCCTAGGTGCAGAGCAACAGGGTAGATGTGAGCAAGAATATAGACTCTCAAGAAGGACTTTCCCAATTTTTAAAAAAACCTGATCAATTACCTGATGCATTTGAAAGTATTTGGACAGTTTTTAGATAAAAATGAGAGACAAAAAGGAAACAAAGGAAAAATATAGGAGAGAAAAAAAGTTAACTCCAAGAAAATCATAGTATATTGCAAGGTTCAACTACTAACATATTTACAAAGTCATAATAAGGTACATTTTGATTAGTCAATACAATGATACAACAAACTAAAGCAAAGAAAAGTAAGAGGAAATTTAAGGCGGCATTAAGAATACTAAAGCAGACCCATCTTCCATGGTATAAAGCCAATTAATAATATGAAAAAGTGAAAACTGTAGAATCATGCATTCAAGACTGAAAATAAAAAAATGCTAAGATATGGAAGAATCAGAAGAAATAACTAAGTATCAGAAATGGCTACTCTGAAAGCAGTACCTGGGGGAAGAAGGAATGACAAACAGACGAGGCAGGGAATAAGCTTTTTGTGATAAGTTTCATAACTTTTTTTTTTACTGTACAGTGTATTAAAGTATTAATTTTTTAAAAAGAACACCCAGTGGTCTTAACCACTTAATACCAATTAATTCACTCACTCTCCAAATACCTAAGGTACTTTTCTATGTGTGAGTATGAAAGCAGTGAACAAAACCAAGTCCTCATAAACCCTATATTCAGAGGAAAGCAGAAAACAAACAAAGCAGACTAAAGAAATCAAGAATCATACCAAAAGTTTCTAGAGGCATATACTACAAACTATGATATAATACAATATATACAATTTAATGTCAGAGAAAGCAGTACTTTGGGGAAAGATAGTGTGATGGGGATGCTATTTAGGGAGGGTTTTCAGAAAAGGCCTTTCCATAACCAAAGGAAATCAAACTTAGAAGGAAAACATGTTCAAGACAAAAAAGACTAAGTAAAACAATAAAAGGGTATAATTAAGTTCAAGGTAAAGTTTCCACTTTTAAGCCTCTCACAGACTAAAACAATCAATCTGCTGCCATCATGGCACCTGTGAAAAAGCTTGTGGCAAAGAGGGGGGGCGGGGTAGAGATGGTTCTGAAATTCACCCTGTAGAATATGGAATCACAGATGCTGCCAAATCCAAGCAGTTTCTCTAAGATAATCTCCATGAAGAGGCTGTAACTATAGTGACTGAGGTGTATTTGTCCAAAAAGTATTTAAATATCTGGCCCAAATATATTTGAAGAATAACCTATGTGATTGGTTGTCTGTAATTGCTAACAGCAGAGTAATTGCATTACTGCTAGATTAATCAGGACAATGAAGAGGAGGATGATGAGGATTAAAACTCATTTATCTGGGGCTGGTGGAGTGGCTCAAGCTGCAAAAGTGCCTGCCTAGCAAATGTGAGGTCCTGAGCTCAAACCCTAGCGCCACCATAAAAAATAAAAAAATAAGCTGGGCGCCAGTGGCTCATGTCTGTAAGCCTAGCTAAGTGACCACAAGGTAGGTATCAAGAGAATTGCAGTTCAAAGCCAGCCTGGTCAAATATTTCATAAGACCCTATCTCAAAAAAACTCTTCACAAAAAAGGGCTGGTGGAGTGGCTCAAGGTGTAGGCCTTCAGTTCAAACCCCAGTACCATAAATAAATAAATAAAATTAGAAAATAAAAACTCATTTATCTGGGCTGGTTGGGTGGCTCATGCCAGCTACCAGAGCAAAAAGGGTTTTGGGGTAAAACTTTTATAAATACCACAGTGTATCCCCACTCAGCGTAACAATTTTTAAAAAAGGGCTGGGGTAGAAGGGAAAGACATGACTCAAGTGGTAAAGCACCTGCCTAGCAAGCAAGAAGCCCTGAGTTCAAATCCTCGTACTGTCCAAAACAAAACAACCCCCCCCAAAAAACCTCATTTATCTGGAGTATTTTGTATAAGCTCTTAAATAAAACTTGAGAAACCAAAAAAAGATACCATTACAAAGCATCAAAAAAAGATAAGATTCCAGCTTAATTCCAAGATACTAAAATTTATCACAATCTTCATTCTCTCACAAAAGAGGAATCAATGGGAATTTAAAGAAACAATTTATAGGGAAATGCAATGCATTTATTTTCCTTTGCAAAGGACCTCACTCAGGCTGAGGGGGTTTCAAGTATCTGAATTATCTTTTGATTGAAACTTGAAAAACTAACAGCAACAAAAAAGGGATAGTAGACAGATAAGAGTGACCATTTGATCTCAAAAACAGTCATTAGACAATAAAAATCTCCTATTAAAGAATAGGATTCATTTTAATACATATTGTCAAAAACTGGACCATTAAAGGTAAACCCAAACTACCTGTATTTTATATAGCAAAAGCAATCAGTACTTTTAGAGAAAATAAACAGTTTTAAAGTTTAACTCACAAAAAGAAAACAAAATGAAACTCAATTAAATTTCAATTACCAGTGTGGGTTAAGGTTCTGGAAAAGCAGACTGGCAGTAATCTAACTGCTGAGCTAGTTCCAGATGCTGATGTCCCCCACTAAGTTCTACACTCCTAAGGGGGAACATCACATTCTAGCAAGAGCTACACAGTTGGATTTGGGTTACTGGTTTCTTGGCAACATGCTTACCATCTCTGAACCTTAGTTTCCCCAAGTTAAATGGAGGTGATAATGCCTATATGGGGGTCAATGATAATGACTGACAACCCTCCCCGTGAGAAGTAACAAAATCTTCAAATATAAATAACACACACAAAAAAACTTTGAAATCTGCACAGATCTACACCAATGTTTGTCATATGTTAATCACAACAGAAAATGATCAGTTCCTGTCAGATTTTTCTGATTTTAACTACAATTATCTGATTCTGTGGAAGAACAAGAAGGCACTGTTTCACTAAGAAAAAAAAGGCGATAAATTTTTTAAACAATAAAAAAAGGACTCCCTTATTAAAACTGCCAAGAGAGAATATTTTCAGGAAACATCTAACTATATAAACCAAAAAAATAAGTTGTTTAGCCACATGTAAACTATGCATCATCTGACTTCAGGTGGAGTATCTGTCTTTGGTATACTTGGAAAGCAGATACCCAGTATGTATAAATACAAGCATATTTTTAAAACAACTGTCTTAATGCTTTTGTTCACTAAAAGTAATAATTCCCTCTTGTGTTCACTAAAAGTAATAATTTCCTCTTTTCTCAGAAGGAAGAATATAAGCAATATCCTTAATCAAAAAGGCATCAGAAGAGTTTTTACTTCATAAACTTTTAAATGAATTCGCCCATTTACCAATGAGGCTCCATCAGTTCCCAGTCATGTCTTTTTCCTGCTGTATCCCCAACATCTAGAGAACTGACTGGCACCAAGCAGACACTTACTATCAACAGAATGAAGGATAAATGAATGCATAAACTACACCTCAGAACAAAAGCTTAAGCATTTTGAGTTGCAAAATGCTTAATTATGCTTAATGCATCATTCACTACACACAACTGCTGTCTCAACTGTAATGACATCATAAGCTGAAAAAGACATACTAGGTACCTAAATACACACGAATACATTACTCACATGTGAATATGATTCACAAAGCCAGTTTTTAAATTACATTTTCTCTCAGAAAATGTGTTGTAATTCTTACTGATACTACAAATCAATGTCAGAAAAGTGTATTAGAATCTTGGTATGTAAGCACTACGTTTCAATTTCTGTTGCAATTTGGTATAATGAGGCAAAAGGAACAGTATTTCCCAAGTCTACTAGAGTATTTTGAAAAGTCAAATTCCTTAAATCAATGAAAGGTGGAATATAACGGGAAAAAGACAGGTCTCGCTATTTCGAAATTATGCTGAAATTTAAAAAGAGAAAATTAAACATTCAAAATAACATTTATGTTACTTACTGAAAATGGCATGTAATGAATAAAATACATTTGATCTACAGTTTTTACTAAGACAAGTTATTTCCCAAATCTTCAAAGTTACATGATAAACTTCATGACTAAAAAGCTTAATGTGAGGTTATTTTAAATAAAATAATACTGTTTCGATACAAGTTCCTTCATAATTTAAAGTCTAGACTAAGATATTCAGCAGTGACCGTAATACACTTATTATATTTGATGCTCCAGCCGTAGAAGCATAATTATCTGGGTTGAACAGGCTTCATGGCTAGCTAGCAAGCTATGATCTTTGTCACTGCAATACTCAGTGTTCACAGATTGAAGTTTTCCCAAATACTAATGGTGCCATCTTCAAAGAGTAACAGCAGGCCATCTGATGAATATTTAAAAAAAAAAAAAGTCAATTCATAAACACACTGTTAAAAAACGAAGCGTTAGGGAATAAAGAAAATCAGGACACATACAAGATACAGCTGAGTGAACTGCTACCTGTTTTTTCACCTTATGATCTCAAACAATACTTCTTAGCGCTCTCTTATCAGAAATTTCGTTTCAATTGCCCCTCCTCCACAGCCAGCCTCAGTGGTTCTCTCCCCGCCCCCATCCCCCTCCCTCCCTGCTCAAACAAATTACCATTTGTGCTAAGGTGCCTCCTATCAGCTCCCAGCTTCTTCCCAAACACGCCCACGGACCCTACCCCGGCCTGCGTCTAGACCGCGCGCGGACGAGGGACCGGCGCTCCGCGGGGGGCGGGAGAGCTGCGCGCAGACTCAGGCTCGGGTCCCACCCGAGTTTCCCCCCGCCCCCCCCACCTCCGAATCCCCTCCAACGCCAAGCCCGACCGCGGCGCCTGCATCCCGGATATTTGCAGAGCGATATCGCGGCTTTACAAGTGTTTGATCAGATACGCCCGGAATCTCCCTTCGGGTCCGCACGCCCGGCTCGGGGGGGCCCCCGGGCGACTCGGGCTGCAGGAACCCCGCAACAGGTCATCCTGACCGCCAGTCCGCGGGTGGCCCCCCCACGCCGGCCGGGCTTCGGGGTGCAGCCGCTGGGGCGAGGGGAGGGGGTGTGGCCGGTTCGGCGGGTCCCGCCGGGCTCACCTGAGAAGCCGCCGCCGGGACAGTGCGGGGAGCGGCTGGGGGAACCCCCACCACCCAGGGGGAGAGCGGGGAGGGCTGCGGGGGTCGCCGTTGTCCCCGGCGCTAGGCCAGCGGCGTTGGGAGGCGTCCTCCGCCCGAGCTCCGCAGCCCTCCAGCGCCCAGGCGGGCAAGCGAGCAGCCTCGGGGCCCGCACCCGGCAGAGCACCACAGTGCAGCGCCGGAGCCGCTGCCACCGCCGCCGCCATTCCCCCGCGCCGCCCGGGTTGGGGGCGCAGCGCACCCACCTTCCCTCCCTGCCTGCCTCCCTCCCCCGCACTGCACCGCCGCCCCAGCACCGACCTGTGCAGCCCTGGCCGTCGCCTCAGGGGATGGAAGGACGACGCCGGCCTCACGCTTCGCCACCGCCACTGCCCGCAGCCGCCGAGGGGGAACGCCGGGCGACCCGAGCAGTCGGCGTCTCTCATTCAGCGCCAGCCGCTGGCGCTCGGGGGAGGGGAGTGCACTGGATCCACCCCGTGCGCGCCGGGGGTGGGGGAGGAGAGCGGGCCAGGCGGGGGCGCGCGCCGGCGGGTGGGCGGAGCGGGGGCGCGCGCTCTCACCGACCGAGAGCGCTCGCGCGTCCCCGAGCACACAGCCGCCGGGGTCTCGGCCCCGCGCTTCCAGGCGCTGAGCCCCCTGGCCCTGCGGAGCCCAACGGCTCTGCCCGGGTCTGCCGCGCACGCGCGCGCCGCCAGCGGCAGCCCCACCGGCTGAGAGCGAGGTAGCTTCCCGGGACCGACAGGTGGAGCCTCGCCGCAGCCCGGACACCCCGCCCGGGCGTCTGCTCCCCCAGCACCCCCCCCCGACACCTCACCTTTAAGGCCAACCCCGAGAACAAAGTCTGGAAACACTTGGCCCCAAGATCAAATATCCAGCCCACGCCGGCGGTGCTTTTAGAAGTCGTGGCGCACAAGTCGAGGGGCTCCAAATGGGATGCGTCACCCCACTGCCCTAGGGCCATAAATTGCGGCCATCAATACTTCTGGCACATTAAGATTCCGGAAGTGTTAGGAGCGGGCCTTTGTAGGTGTAAGCTGAGTGCTACGTTTGACTTAATGAGCAAATGACAGAAATTTGGCACACATGCACGCCCCCCCATCTTAAATTGATGAGTTCCAGTTGAACAGTATTTTCGCATCATTGCAGGAACGTGATTCTTAAATATTTCAAGCGCATGAGAGAACTGGTAGAAGGATGTCGTTGCACTGGGCACAGCTTATGGGTGGCCTACTTAAAATTAGCACCCTTTGATGCAGTGTGACTTAGCGGAAGGTTTTCAGTGAACCACCTTTGTAGACGGTGTCATTTAGACCATTTGGAAGTAGATGATTATGTGATAATCAGATCTGCAGGCCTTTCTCTAGGCAGAGTGCAGTAGGAGAATGTGGAAGGAAAATTGTGTACCAGCATTAAGAATAAAACATGAAAGGACCAAAATTGACTGCTCCCATTTGGTTTCTGTAATAACCACTAAACGGAACTGATTAATCCTGTATGTTGAAGAAAGCTAATCATTTTCTCTTTTGCCTACTTTCTGTTATAACCTTTTACTCTAGTTGGGGAAGCACGGATGCCCTTGAACCCTTCTCTCAAGTAGTTACTATAAATCACTCCCACCCAAAGATAAGTAAAAAACAGAAACAAAACAAGAATAGGCAAGACAGTTCATAGTGTTTCATTTATGTTCCATTTTACTTTCAGGAAAGCCTCCCATCGTGGGGAAAATCACTGGGAGAAGTAGCGAAACCAAAGTAAGAAAAAAAAAAAAGCCAACCCCCAAAAAAGTTTAAATGAAAAATAAACTTTAAAAAAAAAAAAAGACTGTGGTGGAGCTGGCAGCTGGTGGTTCAAACTGTGATTGTAGCTACACAGGAGGCAGAGATCAGGAGGATCACTGTTCCAAGCCAGCCTGGGCAAATAGTTCTCAAGATCCTAGCTGGAAGAAACCCACCACCAAAAAAGGTTGGCAGAGTGGCTCAAGGTGTAGGCCCTGAGTTCACACCCTAGTCCCACAAAATAAACAGTATTTTTTTTTAAATGGGCTTGTGTGGGAATAGATTGTTGGTAAAGATTTGGGTACACATGTATGATGGATGTAGGAAATTTTCCCATAGGTGTTAATTGATTCAAGTCCCAAAGAAACAGCAGGCAAACTGAATTAGCAGTTGGAGAAAAAAAAACTTTCCAGCTATTGAGTTGGGTAAATGTTTGTTCTTTTTTTAGTGTTAGTAAAAGATTAAGGAAAAGGTGGTTGGATGTGTGCCAACAATAACACAATTTTATAAATATATATAGATACCATTATCACAAATAATTAACCGCTCTTATGAAATAGGAAATCTGAGGGACATCAGAGAATTCTATTTTGTATAAATATCTTGGACTTACTTAAACTTGTATTAGAGTTCATAAAAACAAATGAACCTGTTGTTCCTACATCTGCAAATTATTTTCACAGTTTACTGTAAAAGCAGTGAAGTTTTCATTCAGACTTTGAAAAAAAAAAAGGCATATGACACATGAGCCAAGCCATGGCTATATTAAATTCTTCTGCCTACTGAATTTCTGAGTTCTGAATAACTATCCAAAATCTGTTTCTCATGTTGATAACCTGTAAAATCATATTGTTATTAACCTTAAGAGTTGTGTTGCCCAACTCTGTGGCTCACGCCTGTAATCCTAGCTACTCAGGAGGCAGAGATCAGGAGGATCCTGGGTTGAGGCCAGCCAGAGCAAATAGTTTGGGAGACCATATCTTGAAAATACCCAACACAAAAAAGGGTTGGCTCAAGTGGTAGAGCACCTGTCTAGCAAGTTTAGGCCCTGAGTTCAAATTGTGTTAAATTCAAATTTCTTGATAAGATTCAAAGTTTCTGCTTAAAAATACAGAAAAAAATTCATTCTCAGTAACCTTTTTGGTTTTATTTTGTTTTTTGGCTATAGCTTGAGAGTTATATTACAAAGTTATGGCCCCTCCTGTCCACTGATATGTAAATTAAAACAATGAATACCAGCACCAAATTTCCTTCTCCAGAATGCTTGTATCACAGTTAAATTCTGTAAGTTGCTTTATGGGTTCCATTAGCTTTTGGCAAAAGATAAGGAGTATGCAAAGTCTTAGTATAACAAAAAAAGCTAATGTATAAAGTAGAAGTGCCATTATATAAAATAGAAATCAATAAGAATTCAATATGCTTAAAAGTCATTTCAGAGGAATCATTATGTAACAATTTTATTACTATCAGTTTATTTCCAAGGGGTTAGCCCAAGAACTAATTTAGATACAGAGCGAGCAGTTCAAAGACAAGAGCCCACCACAGCAAGAAACAAATCAACAAACACTTCACCCTATTATACCTGTCAAAACAGAATACAACCGGCATTGTAAAGAAAGATTACTAAGAATTCTGTTACAACCAACAGAATTTCAGTAATAAAATATACCTCTGTTATTTCTCTAGCCACTAACGTCTTTTTCCAAATGTTTATTTTATATTATACATATATATAGTGACAAGACAATTATATATCATATAAAAACATGTTTTTATATATATTATATATTTACATTTTCAGTGTTCTGATTTAACATACAGGCAAAGTACCATACCCAAACTTCACTTTGAGGGCAAGTATAAGTAAGAGGACTTTGAAGAGATAGTCAGATGTTCTCCAGAAAACTGTCACACAAATACAAAGACAGCCTGCCATGATTCCCAGTTGAGAGAAACATTGCACAGGTATTAAAATACCAAGAACAAAGATGATCAACGGTCCATTTAAGCATGAGCGCCATGTTAGTTTTGTCACTTACAATTAAGCCACTCTTCACAGGGGTACTGTGTCGGGTATGGTCAGCAGGGATTTATTTACTTAATGACGATTAGTCTTTCCCTAAAACAACTCTTGAGGAGATCAGTTTGTGTGAAAATAAATGCATGCCCTAGTAAGTTTCAATGTGAAGTTTAAAGACAGTTTCCATAACACTCATTTATCTGACAGCATTATGAAAGGAGCTGTGGAGAAGTTGGATATAATTAGATATTCTAGATAAACCATGTTTTCATCTTCAAACATTAGAAACAGTTTAAACCACTTTTATTTCTTTCCCTAAAGTATCACTAACTTCTCTGCCTTAAATTAATAAAATACAGCATAGCTGGATCTATTCCTAATGACCCAGAAGTATGTTAATGAGAAACCAAAGTCATGACACCAAGATGTCCTCAAGAGGAACTCCCTGCCCTTTGATGGGTAGTCAGGGCCTACTCTGTTGCTGTGAGTCACAGATCTGGGTAGTACTTGTGGCTGATCTTTCTGCATCCTTCTCCTCCTGCATCTGTTGCTGCACCACCACCCTGCACACTCATATTCACACACACCTCTGAATTGTGTTCTCGTGCTACAGTAGCATGAGAAACCAATTTTTTTGTGGTACTGAGGCTCAAACTCAGGGTCTCACACTTGCTAGGCAGGTGCTCTACCACTTGAGCCACTTTGCCAGCCTTTCTTGTGTGCTGGGGTTTTGCTTGCTTGTTTGTTTTTTTTGGTGCCAAAACCCAGGAGCAAATGTGTTTGGTATTTTTGAGATGGGGTTTCATGTACTATTTGCCTGGGCTGGTCCCAAACCATGATCCTTGTGATCTCTGCTTCCTGAGTAGCTTGGATTACAGGTGTGGCCACCAGCGCCCAGCTCAAATGACCAATAGTTTGAAGTACAAATGAAAAGGGAGAAAATGCTAAAATAACTCTGATACATTGGGGGCATTTACTTAGTGTAAAAGTCTTTGCCTACTTTCATATTTCCCTCTAAATTATGGATAATTGCATTTGCCAGCCAACTTTGTTTGCAGATAAGTGAATTATCACTTTGTCCACCTTCCCTCATGAAAATTTTAAGCATTATCCTTCATATTTAATGGAAGGAAAGGATTTTGGTCAATAATATTTATCACCATAGTTTCTTTTTTACATATCAAAATAGGTTAGGATTTTTGAAAAGGAATTCATAAATCCATACCAATACTAAGTAGGTAAGCTGAGGATGTGGCTCAGTGGTAGAGCACAGCCTAGCATACATGAGGCCCTGGGTTTGAGCCTCAGCACTAAAAAAAAAATAAGTAGATAAAATGAATGAAAAAGTGAATGTTCTTGTAGAATGTTGAGAGGCTTCTGGAATTGGAAAAAAATAATCACTTTGCAACCATTAGGGAAAAGATTGGGTAAGGTTTGAACCATCAATGGATCTAAATGTAGAAAGAAATTTAGAAGAGGGGCAAGATATTTGTGTGGTCTTACTGGGTTTTCTCACTTCTTATTAGCTGAAAGAAAGGAGTAATTGTATATTGGAGAAATTAGACAAAACTCTAACTGGGTATCCAAAATGAACATCACAAATGAGAGGCAAATAGACATTGTTTGCTTGTAGATGTTCTTCTCTTAAGACACAGCATCTAAGTGAGGAAACACCAGCTTGATCCCCAACTAGGAGTGTTCTGTTTAGTTTTTTTTTAAGGGGTGGGGAGAATGTGTGCTGTATTCTTTAAAGATATCAGTGTCATAAAAGACAAAAGTTGTGAAAATATCCCAGCTGAAGAGCCATGATGACTAAATGTAATGTAAGATGCTAGAATGGATCTTTTCCTGGAGGAGTTTAAAAAATGCTATGAAAGACATTATTGGGTTAATAGGAAAACAAGTGGTAGATTGATTAAAGTGTTGCATC